AAGTAATGCTCACTGAATCTTGTGACACAGCCATTTCCTTACCAGTTTCCACTGCAATATCTTAATCCACTCATCTGCTTCTACTCCAGTCTTTGCGTAGAGATAATATGTCCTCACTGGGAATACTAAACTGTTCAAAAATAATAATAAAGACATTATTTCATAAACAACCAATAGTTGTATTTAGTTATTTAGGAATTTTGTAGGCCATTGCTCCATAGTCCTGCTGCAGGGGGCTTACAAGTAAAAATAACACCATAAAATAACAAACAACATAAATTACCAATATGAAAAGGAACAAGCCATTAAAAACAAACCATTGGCACAAAACAACCACTGAATGCCCTAAATCATCCATAAAACAGACCTGAAGGTTTTTAGAAACCTTTAGGTAAAAAACTAAGTCAACATAAATGTTTCATCCTGATAGCTGATAGTATGGTAGGCATCAGGTGAGACTCAAAAGAGGATGGAAGTCAAAAGGGTGAGGTGCCACCACTGAAAAGGCCCTGTTTCTAGTCGCCGCCCACCTCACCTCTGCAGCTGGGGGCACAGAGAGAAGATTAGGAAGCAAATCTTATAGTTTGGGAGGTAAATCTTAACCTAGTGAGCTGGACAGTACAGGAGGAGCCAGTCCTTCATGTACCCCAGCCCCAAGTCCTTTAGAGCCTTAGTGGGAAGGACCAGCATGTTGCCTTGTGACTGAAAACAGAAAGGCAATCTTTGTATCCCATTTTGCAAATGAAACTGAAGCTAAAGGCAGAAAGAGAGCTGCTCAAACCTCTCCAGTGAGCCAGAAGCCTTAGTCACAATGGTGTACGTGGCCCAACTAGCTAACCAACAGAGACGGACCACTAGAGGGGAGGAAGTGTGAGTAGTAGACAAACTGGAGGAAACAATCAAGCTAAACTATATTAAGAATAGTCTAAGGGTGGCATTATACTTTTCAGGCCCGTTCAACTGAATTCATGACTAAGTACTCATCCCCATTCCAGAATGAGGTGGGTGTATGAGACGGCAGGCTCCTGACGTGGGTATGAACATGGGGAATCACATTTTAATACATTCTTATTTACTGATAAATAAATAAAAGGGGGAGGGAAATTTGCCAATGGAAAATTAATGCCAGAAGGGAGAAGTCTGGACTCTCTCCTTGCCGTCTTAGTTATAAATATCTTATTTTACAAAAATTGTTATTTGTCTTGTTCTTTTTTTGAAGAAGAGGACTGTCTCTTTAAGTTTAGTAAATAGAAGGCTGTGTTAAATGAAAAAGGCTGCCAGACTCCAGTTAGGTATGAGAGAGAAACGAAAGGCATGTGTGAGACACCAGAAGGGGTGGACTGTGGGAAGTTAACTCACTTAAGCCCAAGGGATTCAAACAGGATTTACTGTAGTTATAATCAACTTTTGCTGGGTTGTTATTTATACTTTTGGCTTAAATCCATATCTTACATGCTAAACACTTAACGTATTTCAAAGCACATTCTGGGTAGGAGTTTGACATGGGTAGATGCTTCAGATATTCGCAAATGGCCAAGGCTCCCTACAAATAAATGTGTACCTATAAAGGGAAATGCATAAGACACACAACCAACATGTCACTTCCAACATATGAACCAGCACAGATAGAAGACAACAAAGCTAGCCCACAGTCAGGAAGGGGTTGGTGGGGTCTGTTTGCAGAAGGCTGTTTAGAGGAGAACAAACAAGAAGATTTCTCTGCAGTATTCAAATGGGGCAAACTGGGACGGCACTGCAAGCTATCGGAAAGGTGAACATTCCCCAAAGCTGTTGTAGATTTTTCGGACTGTATGGCCGTGGTCTTGGCATTGTGGTACCTGACATTTTGCCAGAAACACTGACACAGTGTTTTCTGTGTTATACCTCTGAGGATGCCAGTCACAGCTGCTGGTGAAATGTCAGGTCCTACAATGCCAAGACCACGGCCATACAGCATGGAAAATCTACAACTAATGAACTCCGGCCGTGAAAGCCTTCGACAATATATTCCCCAAAGCATTTATTTATTTTTTTATTAATCACATTTACACCCCGCCCTCCCCGCAATGCAGGCTCAGGGTGGCTCACAGTCCTCTGTTAATAAATTCTTTTTATACATGATGATTCATGAGATTTCTGGGGACAAGCTTGAAGACAGACACACACACGCAGAAAGAGAGAAAAAGACCTCTATATTTATTAGGCCACAACTTACCAAAAGCAATTGACTTTATCCTGTGAATAGTCAAACTGCACTGCTGTGCATTCTGTTAAGTCTAGTGCTCTGATTGGCTCTGTGGACTTGAAAATAAGTTTGTTTTTGAAATAATCATTCTTTTTTCTTAAACGATCAGAACCTCAGATTCCCAAAATAAAAATGCCAAGGAAGAGATAAGGCCATGACTGCCTCATTTTATAAAATTACAGTTTTGTATGTTTTTTTGCTTCGATATCCATCTTTGTATGTTTCCTGTGCATATGTACTTCCAGAAATTTTAACTATTTTTTTAAAATTCCTCCTCTCCCAGCCCAGTAACTCTGAATTTGTGTGACTGGAAATCACTTCCATGTAGGGAACTGGGTGAATACCACAAGAAATATACAGCTTGCAATTGATGGATATATCTGCACTGTCACCAAATGTGGTTTCCAATTACCTATATATGTGACAAAAGAAGACCTATGAACATTTTCTCATGGAGGACAAAACTATAGGACTTATATATACAGCAGGGACATTTATTTTGGGTTACATGTCTTGTGAAATGGCCCTGAATCCACCTGGAAATTACTGAGCTAATTTCATATGTTTAATTGAAGAGTAAAAATGCAACGTTGTGCTGGAACACAGGCCACTATTATCTGTAGCCAGAGGCAAACTGCCCACTACCTGGTACTAGACTATTGTCTAGGAAGCCAGAGGGCAAGGGGGGCCTGGGGAAGCCCTGTGGGGCACCCATCCAAGTCACAGCTTTGGGCACACCCACTCAGGCAGAGCTGGCCAGCTCTATGGGGTTGCCAAGTATGGGTTGGGAAATTCCTGGAGATTTGGGGCTGAAACCTATGGAGCATGGGATTGGAAACAGCAGGGAACTCAGTGGGGTATAATGCCATACAGTCCACCCTCCAAAGCAGCCATTTCTCCAAGGGAACTGTTGTCCAGTTCTAGCGTTGCCAACCTCCAGGTGGTGGCTGGAGATCTCCTGCTATTACAACTGATCTCCAGGCAACAGAGATCAGTTCACCTGGAGAAAATGGCCACTTTGGAAGGTGGACTCTATGGCATTATACCCCATTGAAGTCCTTCTCCTCTCCTCCCTTCTCCAAACCCTGCCCTCCTTAGGGTCCACCCCCCCCCCAAACCTCCAGGTATTTCCCAACCTGGAGCTGGCAACCCTAAGCAGTGCCCCTGGAGAAAATTGCTGCTTTGGAGGGTGGACTCTACAGCATTAGTAACCCTAGTGGATTCAGATGCAGGGAAGAGCAGTCTGTTATCTAATCAAGCTACTCTTGTGTTACCCCCGTCAACCCACTCTCCATGTTAACTGACAAGAAATGGATAGAAATGCCTGCACTTCCCAGAGTATATGTAAACCATGTGGTAGGCGGAAGCCAGGAATGTTCTAGAAGTATGAAAGGAAAGAGGTTTAATGTGTGGAAATGGACAGCTGATACTTTTCATGGTATGGAGGCTTTTCATGGTATTTTCCTGGTAAATAATATACCATTAAACCTCTAGAAAAGGGACAAGACATTTTTCTCTAGGCCTGTTGGCAACCCTGGGTTTAAATGGCAATCTCCAGAATTGCCATCCCTTGACTACTGGACCCCAATGTTTTTTAACGACCAGGTTTACCTACAACAAAGATTGTTATCCAGAACATACTTTAAATGCAATATTCTCACTCACCGTCTGGTCTTTATAATATTTCAGCTCATTCCTATGCAATGTAAACCACCTAGTTTTCCAGTTCTGAAAGAATAAAACCCCACAAGAAAGGGAAGGTGAGACCTCTGGATTTTATATTTTTTATAAAATCTAAAAAGAAAGACAACTGTTTAAATAAGCAGCCTGAAGATTTTAAAAAGCAGAAAAGCCCAAAACAAATCTCTACTGCTGCTCAAATACCAAATCTGGGCCTGTATTTAATCCTAAATTTAAATGTGATGGTCAACAGACCTAGGGGGACAGCATATCAGATGTGCACATCTCTCACCATTCAATGGCCAATCAGTTGAAAGATGTATTGTATTGTTTCATACGTAAACAACAGGAAGTTAGTTCACTCTGGAGAGCCAGCGTGGTATAGTAGTTAGAGTGCTAGACTAGGATCTCAGAGACCCGGGTTCAAATCCCCATTCTGCCACGGAAGTGCATTGGGTGTCCTTGGGCAGGCTTACCTAACTTAGAGGGCTGTTGTTGCGGGGTAAAATGGAGGACAGGAGAACAGTGTTGTAAACTGCTTTGGGCCTCCATTGGGGAGGAAAATGGGGTATAAATATATACATAAATAAACAAATTATTTTTATTTATTTATTTATTTATTTATTTATATCCCGCCCTTCCCACGAACGTGCTCAGGGTGGGTTACAACAATAATTTATAAACAGTAAGCAATTAAAATAAATATTAATAAAAACAGTTAAAACTGTTAAACGTTGGGCATAGCAGCAATTACATATTCCGTAATTCTAGACTGGGAAAAATTGGGCCGCAGCCGAGCTACAGCGATCTTATCAGTAGCAGTCTATCAATAGCAGAAACTGCAGTAAAATTCGTTTAAGAGTATACATAACTCTTCATAGGGCAAATATCCTCAGAAATATTACACACATTACAGAGAATTATTGGTAACACTGGTGAGAAAGCAGTTGTGGTTGGAACTCCATTTGCTCTCTGTATTTCTCCCCCCTCCCTTAAAGTTCTATGCATGGAAGAACCGGAGTAGTGTAGTAGTTAGTGTGTTGGACTTGAACTTGAGGGATTCAGGTTTACACCTCCACTCAGCCATGAATGTCCCTCAGTGTTTGGGACTGGACTTACTCCACTGCCAGACTATTCTATTTCAGTTAGTTATTGTGAGCATAAAATGGAGGAGAAGGAAGGAAACCACATACACAACCCTGAGCTCCTTGGAGGACAAACCAGAAAATGAAAACAAACCAGAACTTGATATTTCAGAACCTACTTTCCCAATTCCATATACATTTCCCCTGTGTTGCCTCCAGCTGTGCATGTGCCCTAACAATTTGGCTTTATAGTCTGGGCAGAAGTCACCTGTGGTATCTCTTACCTTAACTATTTTGCCTTGTTTGGTCAGATAGCCTTCTTTTGTTCCGAGCTGCAGAGAAAGAGATAAAGGTTTACACGTTGGGAGGAGGTGGGGGAGGGAATAGCAGAGGACAAGGACAAGTAAACCGATAACGAGTCATTACAAAACCGTATTACTGACGTAAAGCAAAGTACAGCTTTTCACTTCACTGTTGCTCACTCTGTTTTTATAACTGTGTTATCATATTTCTGGCAAGAGTATCAGCTCTTTGCCTGCACAGAAGGTAAACATATAAGGCATTCCATTAACTTCACCCTGTTGAGGGGCTCTTGGTTATCCTGTGAGAGTCTTTCAGAGCTTTCCAAGAATGTAAGAGGTTACCTTTTAACTAATTTCCCAATACAATTAAAACTTTTTTTTTCCTTGCAGTAAGATGGCCCTAGATGGTAATTAAGCCTTTTTGGCCAACAGATTCCTGTATTTTAAGGCCAAACCGGATGTGACAGCATCCCTGGGTTGGACCCAAGGATGCCTCCACCATTATAAAGCCTAACAAGGTGCTCTTATTTCACTTCCCCTACAACCTGCACCTTTGCAAGTACCAAAAGTCAAGTAATGACCATTAATAACATAGGGGAACAAAGGGGTGATTTTAAAGTCCCAACCACAAGCAAAGGCAATACTTGCTCTACAAAGAATATAAACCTAGCTAAGCTTTAAAAAGACTATACTTAGTAATACACAGAATTTCTGAGTGCTCAGAGCATTTCACATACTAACGAGAACCCTAGAAGGCAGGAAAGTGTCACTATCCCATTATTGTAGGTGGGTTGCTGACTGAGGCTGATCTGTAGCCCCCGGTCCATCTCGATTTTAGTACCCTGGATCTCCCCAACAATGCCTTTGAGGGATTGAAGGTCAGGAGAGGCTGCTGGGAGAAGGAAAAGGAAGAACCACTTCCACCTGTGGAATGACTGTAAGGTACATCACATTTCCCATACTAAGAAATAAATAGCCTTTACTGGTCCAGCCAGTATTCTATCCAATCCAGCAACAGAACAGTAACTCACCGATGGAGCACTGGGGACAAGATCAATTTCTGTTTTTCCTGTCTGCATTGCTGTGTGAACACGCACAGATTCATAAATAGAAGGTTCTTCCACTTTCTTAGGGTACGGGTGTTTCAGTACAATCAGAGTGCCTAAATAAAGGAAAACAGAGATTCTGTCTTTCACATTTTTTATCCCCAGGTCAGATCTCTACCAGTCCTTCTGAAGATATGGTGAAACTATTGAGACTCATGATTCCACACTGCTTATCATGGGGTAGGCAGAAGCAAAATAGGACTGCTGTGTAAAGAGGAACTTGCATTTCATGAAGAATAAACGGGTTCGATCTAGCCAGCCTTTGTACTCGATCTTTCCCAATTCCCCACCTTATTACAGCCTCCATCTCATATGCCTTTTTCCTATGATCTCCAACACTGTATTTTTGGTGATCAAAAAAGATACCCCTTCCTCTTTACGTGGAAAAGCTGGTGGGGTCCAATGCATTATGTCTTAAATATAATTCCAAATTCGACTTGAATTTAACTTCACTGAAGGCTTACTGTGAGCTGTGGTTAAAGGGCTCATAAGAACCCTTGAGGTCCACAAGGCTAAGGAGGGCACCTTACAAAAATTATCATCTATTATGTGTCAGATACAAACAGGAAGGGTGTACAGTGTCACATTCTGAATAGCTGCTGCTTGGTTATGACCTCCCTCCCAAGGGAGATCTACAAGAGAACATTGCAGGGTCTTTTTTTAAACAGAAACTATGAGACTTCTTCCTTTCTTCTTCTAAAAGAAAAACTTCCATTGGCCAGAGCAAAGCAGGGGAGGCTGTTTTAGTTAAAATAGTCTGACATTGGCTTATACTTCTTCAGACAGACGGACGGACGGACGGCTAGCTGGCTGGCTGGATGGATGGATGGACGGAGAAGGATCTGCTTCACCAATATCTGCATTTATATCCTCTCTGCGTCAGCAAAATGGTAGCTATTATAATTATAGTCAAACAATGCTTCTGACAAGAAACTGTTTCATGAACAGCTTCACCTCCTGCAAATTAATAAACCATTTTGGGGATTCTAATGGGACAAAGGAAGGACCTTGGGCTTTCATCCAATAAGCCAGCTTGTATCCCTCAGGTTTCGTGCCATTCTGGCCCCTTGCATACGAAACCGGCAACTGTCTCTGCCAACTCCTCTTCCTGTGCATTGCTCCACATAGGAAAGGAACATGGGAGGACACAAGTTCACTGACATTGTGAAGTTTCACACCTATTTTGCAGCCTCCTGCACTGTCCATTTTGGGCACATGAAAGGAGTTTCACAGAGCAGGCAGAATCTGATTAGGGAGTTGGTAAGCCACTAGGCGATCCTATCATTCAACGCTGGAGATCATGTTTGCTGATATCATATAGCACCAGGTCTTTAACTGTTAATGGATGTAGCAGATGGTGGGGGGCAAGGGCAGGAACCCACAATAGCTTGCAAGATTCCTCAAAATATTAAAACATAACTACTATTACATTGTATGTAAGTGTGTGAACTGGCTGCTGAGGATGCAGTCTATGAGTAACATCTTGTTCACTTTTCTCAATGAAACTAATGGGCATTCAGCAAGGCCATGAACTTTCCACAGTACCTCAGCATCAGTCCCTACGGGGCCTAAATTGTTCAGCATCATGGAACGGATCCAACAGAGCATTTCCACAGATGGAATTATTTCCATCCACAGAGCATGATTTTCTTGCTTCCCCGTCCCTCCGTAGCCCCAAATGCACCTTCCCTGAGTGCTGAGTGCAGCATTTCAGTCGGCATTTTGGGCGGCCATGGGAGGAAGGAGGTGAGAAGGTCAAACTCCACAGATAGAAACCCTTCCATCTGTGGAAACACTGCACTGGATCTAAGCCCATGTTTTGTGGCACGATATTATTTTTTAAAAGAGAAATCAATGTTGGAAACCTTGAGAGGGAATCGGTAGGGCACGCAGCATACAATTGTTCCTCCTCTGCTGTAAGGAAAGGTCAAAAATATTATATTTTAACTACAGAAAAGTGGGTCCTCACAAATCACATTCTGACCTCTGGGCCTTGTGAATATGGAGGAGCAAAACAACTGAATAGCACAGTTTGGATGGAGTTGTGGCATGTTAAGATACTCCATTGATTTGAATGCCCCATCTGATCCTTCATCTGGCAAGACAGCACTCAAAAGGTTGACATCTGAGGTCTACCACAGTGCCAGAGCCATTCCTAGAAAACAAGGCAGAGGGCTAAGGGAGCTTGTGACCAAGCAGTGTGGACGTGTAGGGATCCAGTTCCTGAAAAATGCCCTCTTATCCAAAGCCGCAGAAGTATCCAAGTATGAATGATTCGGGAGTGATCATGGCTTTTGACTGTCTGTCCCCCTCTCAGATGGTCAGGTACTTGAGCGCTCTTAAATGTCAGCTCCATATGGCTTATTTGTCATGTAAGTGGTTGATAATTGGATCCTTTCTTCTTTTTCCAGACCTGTTCTAAGCGGTAGCTGTCTATCAAAAAGACGTGGGGCACCTCTTGTGTTAAGTAACAAACCTATTTAAGTACCGTTTAACAACAGAGCTCGAGTTGCAGCGCAGTAAGTCAATTGGGGCCACATCAATGCTGTTTTGACACTCATGTCAGGAAATAGATATGATACTTCAAAGAGATTGAAACATTTCTGACCTGGACACCAGTCAGGCTTTAAAAAAACAAATCAGAACCCTCGCTCTCAACCTTTAAAAATCTGAGATAATGTATTCAAACTCAAATACTTAAACTGAAAAAGAAACCATTAATCTTTTCTCCTCAAAGGTGATATGGAATAATGCCCGTAAAAATTACACTAACAATTGTGCTATATGAGATGCCAGCCTCCAGGTGGGACCTAGGGACCACCCCCTGGAATTACAGCTCATCTCTAGACTACAGAAATCACATCCCTTGAAGAAAATGGATGCTTTGGAGGGTGGACTCTATGGCATTGTACCCTTGTGAGGTCCCTGTCCTCCCCAGGCTCCAACCCCAAATCTCCAGGAGTTCCCCAATCTGGATCTGGCAACCTATGGGCCCCATCCCCTGCTGGTGGTCGGGGGGACATGGAAACCCTAGATATCACAGTTTAACGAACTCTGAAGTGTTCAGACAGAGAAACCAAGGATACCAGAGCCTGGAGAGCACCTTAACATAAGTAACAATTCTAAGCATATTTACTCCCATTTTATTCAGAGGAAAGTGTTTGTAGAATTGCAGCCGTAGTGTCTGCACAGGGCTAGCAGAGAAGCATTCTTAGTAGTATATAATTTGCCAGTGTTTATTAAGGAAGCCAGAGTTCTCAATGAGTAAAGTGACATACACTGTTTTCAAAGGGCTTTTTTCTCATCCTCCATTCCTTGTCCTCCCTGAAGAACCCAGCTATACTTTATGCAGGAAGCCCATGTTTCTCAATCTTCTGACGTGCTCATTTTTAAATAAATGCTTTAAATGCCTGCAGCCATTATATTTTGAGAAAGAAGGCACGGCACACTGATTTTGATCCTTAGAAGCCCTAAACAGCTTGGAACTGGGGTTCTCGAAGAGCTGCCTTCTTTTTATTGTATTTTTAAAAATGTATTTAATTTTCGACTTATATACCGCTCTGACCCCAAAGGGTCTCTGAGCGGTTTACACAGCTGTTTATCCCTAACTAGGGCCACATTATTTGTATGGGGGGTTGAAGCTTCCGGAATGCTGACATCTGCAACAGAGGCCTGTCTCTAGGTGACTCCATCCTCAGAGATCAGGTGGGCGGCAGAGAGGGCACTTTCAGTGATGGCTCTCCATCTGCAGACCACTTTTTCTAGATGAATCACAGATGGTGCTTATATCACTATAATTTCACAGGCAGATTAAGACCATGTTTATTCCCCAAGACTTTTAATGGTTGAATGTGATCTATGCTATTTTATTTGGATATATTTGATTTTTATGGGATTTTGTGCCTGCTTTTAATTGCTGTGTGGCTGCTGTTAATGTTGACTTTTTTGTTTGTTATTCAGTCTTTATTGGTTTAATTATTTTTACTCAGGTTTATGAATGTCTTTGTTTTACTGGTATACTGTTTTGGGGAAGTAGAAAAACAGCCTATATATTAATTAAATAAATATTTTATATTTTCCTGATACTTTCCCACCATTTTCCCAGTCAAAATCAAACATGCACATAGAAAGGCTGCTTTTTTCAATTGTTCAGTGTGACTCAAACTGTTCCTGTGAGTTGGATCCAACCAGCGTTTCCAATGGAGAACGGGGGGGGGAGTCCTACCAAAGGTCTATGCAAATAATGGGCAAAGTTATGTTAGGAGAGGGACTATAATCAGAAGGGGAACTGGGTGAGATTAAACAGGACTGAAGCTGGTTCGATCCAACCCTAAGAGCTGAGCAAACTTATTACTAGATTAAGAACTGCTCTTTTAGTAAATGTAATGGCAGAAGGAAATAATCTTTGAAGCTCAGACATTTGATCTATCTAACAATCAGATTAATGACATCTTTTTTGTCTTATTCATAACGTGAAACAAATATGGCCACAATCACTATCCTTCTAGAATATTAGTTATGTGATAAATATCTAATTTGTGACAAGGGAAGTGCAGGAGTGGAATGCTGAGGGACCATCAGGGTTCACCTGATATACAATAAAACATGAAGAACTACAGCAGGTAGGTTCTGGTGCAGCCATAGCCTAAGAGAAGGGAGAGGAGCGGACTAGCGTAGAGGTACATCTGAATGTACAAATATTAAAACAAATGTCACCTACCTGTCTCACTTCCAATTAAGGGCTGATTGGCAAAATGATTAATCAAGTCTTTCAAGCTTGAAAATTCATTAAAACCGAACTTGAATGAAGATCCATTGTACTCCACATGAAAATGTTTGACAGAATCTTTTGCTCTGGAACAAAAATAAAGAAAGTACTGAAATTTTAATGTTTTATACTGTGTTTAACATTTTAATTGTATTCATTATAATATGATGTTACCCGCCCTGAGCCCATTCGTGGGATGGTGGGATATAAATACGAATAATAAATAAAATAAAATAAATATTAAAAAATAGGTGTGATCTAGGGTGGCAACTGATTCTGCGACACCTTCCTAATTCCCTGGTCTTAAAAATTGTGGCCAAGTGAACTGACTACTTTTTCTTTAAGAGTAGTTTGCTCCTATTCTTTCTGTACATTTTTTACTTCATCTTTTATAAACATAAGGCTGTCATTCACATATATGGAGAAAGACTGTAAGTGAGGGATAGCATGAAAGTTGGGGCTAAAGCCTGCCTTAGGGCTGCTAACCAGAGTCTGGAGATTTCCTGCTATTACAGTTGATCTCCAGACGACCAAGATCAGTTCCCCTGGAGAAAATGGCTTCTCTGGAGGGAGGATTCTAGGGGCATTGTACTCTACTGAGGTCCTTCCCCTCCCCAGGCACTGCCCCCAAAATCTCCAGCTATTTCCCCACCCAGAACTGGCAACCCTAGCTGGCCCCCATCCTGACACTGTGTGTTCTGGCCTGAACTGGATGAGATCTTCTGAGACAGAAGATATGTAAGTCTTCACCTTCTGTTTCCCTGCATCATATGAGGCCCCTTTCTAAGCCCTCATCCACCCCTTCACAGGAGTTTGCTAATTATCAGAAGAGTTCACTATCAGCAAAAGCCCACTTTCAGCTTCTATTGTTTCATACACAGAGCTTTGTTCAGGTCTGTAGGCCTGATAAGAAATATATCATAGACCAGAGGATGTTTTAATTTGCATATTTTTGCCCGAAATAACTCAGCAAATTTACATAACCTTCTGAAGGTCAGAACTGATACTAAATAATAAGATCCTGCTCTACTTAGGTGTTACCAAGGAACAGTGTTTTTTAAGAGTACAGTTCTGCCGAAGTGAAACTTCTAAGCGCTTCTATGCTCTACTGATTTAATATAAGCATGAGTCTAAATCTACCAAGCATTGAAACAAACTTAGAAGTACTTAACTTTGGCCATATCACATGATTGTAATTTGGTGGGAAATATACATATAAAGGCCCCGGTAACACGGGCCGGATATCGTGGGCGGGGAGGCGTGGCTAATTGCCCCGGAAGAAACTAACGCGCAGCTGCCCGAGCACACGTCCCAGTCGTGGTCCCGTGGTTAGGGGGGAGATGTCGACCAGACAGGTATCCTGCAGTGCGGCACAGAAGCTGCACCACGCGATCACACTAGGAATCGCTCTTTGTGCGCATACGCTGTAGGAAACGCAATCAGACGCCCGCCCTTGGCCCGCGATTTCCAGAAACTAGTACCTCGTAAGTACTAGTTTTTTAATCCGCACCTTCGGCAGGGAGCCATGGGTTCGTCGCGGGTGCACTGCGCTTCCCAGATGTTGGGATGTGATCGCGCCCGGAAAATCCGCGGGACTCCCGTGCCTCTCCTGCGGCAACTTTGCCGTGTGACCGGGGCCAAAATATATTTATTTATTTATTCATTATATTTATAACCCGCCCTCCCCGCAAGCAGGCTCAGGGCGGCTCACATTGCCTGGCACAATGTGCCAAGATTCATATACAGTTAAAACATTTAAAACTTAACATTTAACACTGTTAAAACATTCAAAACATTTAAACAATCGCCAATTGCTGAATAATATACCATCTTAAATGTTCTTATCAACATGTTAAGTATTGATTGATGAAGATGGTGTTTAGTTTCTATATTTAGATGACTCTACAGTAGGGTTTATTGAGCAAACTTCAGAGGACGGCGGAAGACAGGAGGGCCTGGCGGGATCTGGTCCATGGGGTCGCGAAGAGTCGGACTCGACTGTGCGACTGAACAACAACAACAGTAGGGTTTGAGGGGGAAGGCTGGATGGTATAGCCCAATTTCATCAGATCTCAGAAGCTAAGCAGTACCGTGATGGGAAACCACCAAGGAAGACTCTGCAGAGAAAAGCAATGGCAAACCATCTCTGCTCCTCACTTGCCTTGAAAGCCCATTGCTGGGGTCGCCATAAGTCAGCTGTGACTTGATGGCACTTTACACAGACATAGTAGGGTTTGCCATGACCTCCTATGGTCCAGGCTAGCCCAATTCTGGAGATCTCATTGCCTCCGTGAACACTCACAGCAGCAATAAAGCATCCACATGGTGGTTTCCCACACACATTACTTGACTCAGCCCCCCCACAAACATTATTCCCTCAGAGGGCAGTTACATACGCATAACACTGTAGCCATATAACAATTTCTTATTTTTTTGAAGTCAAAAAAGCTCTCCAGTGGCAGAGGAGGAATAACAGTCATGGGTCAAGGAAAAAGCCACCAGTGTGGGAAGGAACAGAAAAAAATGTGTGCCTTCTGACCCACACAGCATGAAAACACACTTTGACTACAGCCCTTCTCCAAAGATCATGTCAAGCCAGGTTTGGAGAAGATTGGGACAAAGCAGCAGAAAACTTTGGGATGTGAAAGATCAAATGATGGTGTTGTGGATGCTCAAAAAAAAAAATCTGCTCCAATTTATTTATATGCCAAACCAGAGCAAAACCTCAGTATGGAAGCAATCTTTATTCACCTGTGTGTATTAACCATCAGGATAGCAAATCAGTGGCTAAATAGCTGTTTCTCCCCACTTTTTGGTACATTGTACGGGTATTTAAATTCATGTTTATGAATACGAATACCAGGGTGATGTTGTTTCAGGTAATTAACACAGAGTAGACTTCTGCTGTCCCGAGAACATGACACCAAGAACTCATAAAAACAACAAGCTAGCTTGTGGCATCTATTAATTGCAACATAAGCTTTTGAGGACTAGCGCCCACTTCCCCTGATCAAAAGCTTATGCCTCTATTTGTCTTTAAGGTACCACAAGTCTCTTCCTGCCGCAGCTTAACACAGCTGACCCCTGGATTCCGCATCAACATACTTTACCTTACTGAGAGAGAAAACAGATTGGTCTTGCCATTGCTCTTCCGCAAGAGGTAACTCCCGTCACTGCCATTGGAAAGAAGAAGAGCCTCTGCTGCATGACGAGTCAGACCGTCATGAAACCACCTAACAAGACAGTAAAGTTCAAGATCTGTTAAGTGCCCTGTTGACCTTAGTAAGCTATAGAGCAAAACTGATTTCTCAATTATGGAAAATCCGTAGATGTAGAATAAGTCAAGCTACAGCCAAGAACACGAGAGTATATTTCTTTAGCACAATGAGCTTTCCCACATCCATGGCTCTGAGTATTTTGCAATTCCATGGAACACACACACACACACAAAACACAGGAAGCGGATGCAAGATAGGAAGGAGAAACTGATCCACTTCCATCAGAGTAAAATTTAGTGTGTATCCAATAGTGAGACTTCAGTGTCCTTGCCCATACTGCAAGTAGCAAAACCAGACCAAATTGTACAAACTAGCCAACACTGCAAATCAAATTATCTAAAATAAGATCCCAAGGCATGACCTGCAGGCATACAGTGCAGAAATTCTTCATCTTCTTGGAGGAAAAGGGAAATAAAAATGCAAAGCATGTGTGGATTATGATGTGACATCTCAGAAACCAGAGAAAAGACTGGATAGGACTCCCACTGGACAACACTTGCATTACTCTGACCAGCAGTTTGTCCTTCATATACGAAAGTGTCCCATCTGCTCTGTCCTAAACCTAACCTCAAAAGAGTTTAAGATGGTAACTAATCCTTACACCTTTGTGTCTTGGAGATACATCAGCATTACACAAGAACACATAAGGAGCTGCCTTATACTGAATCAGACCCTTGGTTCATCAAGGTCAGTACTGTCTACCCAGTGGCTCTCTGGGATCTCAGGCAAAGGTACTTCACATCACTTACTGCCTGGTCCTTTCAACTGGAGATGCCAGGGATTGAAGCTGGGAGCTTCTGCATACAAAGCAGAGGCCCTTGCCACTAAACCACAGCCCCTCCCCATTGGAGTCTTAGATTTGGGCCGCAAGTGTCCTCCATTCTAGCCTTTATCTTCATCCATTACTTTTACTGTATCCCTCCAGTCCTTGTCAATAGGGATGGGCACACTGAGACTTGGAAAGCCCAGTTCGGTCCTGGGCTTGCAAACTGGGTGGCCCCGAACCAAACCCCCGAGCAAAAAAACCACCCGAACTGAACCAGTTTAGGTGGCATCAGGCCCGACCTCCGGTGCGCTTGCATCACTTCCAGGTGGCATTGAGCCCTGCCCCCGGTGTGCCAGCGTTACCCAGAAGTGATACACAAGCATGTTGGTGATGTGCTTGCGTCCCTTCCGGATGACATGGGCACGCTGGGGGCAGGGCCCAATGCCACCCGGAAGTGAAATGCCGAACACGTGACCCTGTCAGGACCCACAGCCAAACAACAGAGCACACACTTCCAAGAAAGGTTTAACTTTATTGTTAGTACTATGGTTGCAGTAACATGGTCACTGTTAGGAATGACGAATATAGAACAAGCATATAGAGGATTCAACAGGTCCCCCCACCACCACCTGTGAGCCAATCGGCCCATTTCCCACGGGCAGGAAAGAATAACGGATGGTCGCGGCTGAGAAACGAAACTAGTCTCACAGTTAATTAAAGTGGAGACACTACACAGGCAGGAATACAAGGTCAGCGATAACGAGAAGCAAGAGGGAAGGAATGTGGCACCAACTTGTACACAGGTTAGGCAGGCGAACCCTACGCCTATAAACCATATGGCAGCCTAGCTGACAGAGCCAAACCGAGCTTCGGTGAGTGTTTGGGGGAAGTCACGTAACGTTCCCTGAGCCTTGGCTCATGAACTCCGAACCAGGCAAAGTCCAGCCCGGACTTTGGATCAGGTTTGGGTCTGTGCCCCCTACTTGTCAACAAAGACTCTTTGAATGCCCAAATCCTGGTAATAAAACAAATGAATACATTTCTCTTTGAAATTTGAGTTATTTGGCGCATAATTAGACATTTCGCAGAGCCCAGGGTACCCTCACAGAGCCTTAAATAGAAGACATATTTGGAACCTAATGCTGTTAATATGGAATAATAGTAAGATTAGAAGCTGCTCCAAGGACCAGCAACTTAACACACAGAAGAAGATCAAAGGGTCATCCCTAGCAACACCTGTTGCTCCAAAGGAGCTGATTAAGTAGGTGCCAAAACAAAAGGCCAGAGAGCAGTGACTCGGTATCATGGTGATTAGCAATAGCATAAATGCAGTAGGGCAAAAAATGATGCATGAAGAAATATGCTGAATATCCATTAAAACTAGGTGAATGGGTACTCAAGCCTATATAGGCTTAAGAGCTCTTACTGTATACAAGGGGACTTATTTCCAAGTCAATGTATGTAGAATTGCCTATTTTTTTCCTGTTTGGTTTATTCGTTTAAATACATCCAACTGATTCAGAGATGGGTGCAAACAGCCAGCCAGCCAGGCAAAAAATAGCAACAGCTCTCTCTGAAACTATGTACACATTAAACAAAGATGCCATCCAAAATAAAATGCAGCATCCTAAAAGAAAACAGGGCCAGACCTGACCAGTTCTCCCAGGCCCCATTCCAAAGGTCAGCATTCTTCCCAGAACAAATCAGCCATGAAATGTGTTCAGCAGCCTATTTTTTAATTATACTTGGCATGACAGAGACTGCCTTGATTGCTGCTGGAGAACCACAGACCAGTCAAAGGGAGAGTCATCCCCTCTCTCTCTCTCTCTCTCTCTCTCTCTCTCTCTCTCTCTCTCTCTCCCTCTTTAAAGGCTGCTGTATGCCAGTTCCTAAAGCACATTTGCACTCTTTAAATGTTAAAAAATTGTACATGTTGATTAGAACAGCACAATAAAGATCTTTGCAGTCATAGCTTCCTAAGAAAAGAATATTCAGAACTGTACTAGATGCTCTAGGAAGCCACTCCCATGGGCAAACAGCAGAATCGTAAGCCATGATTTGAAGTTTTCAGACAGTAAAGTTCTCAGCGCTTGGAAGACAGGAGGACAATACGAGATAAGGCAGTCCTTCTGCTATTCCAGTTGGGTTGCCAGTTCCAGGCTGGAAATTCTTAGAGATTTTGGGGTACAGCCTGGGGAAGGGAGAGTTTGGGGAGGGGATGGACCTCAGTGAGGTCTAATGCCACAGAGTCCACCCTCCATAGCAGCCATTTTCTCCAGAGGAAATGATGGTATGGAGATAGTTACAATTCCATGGGATCTGCAGGTCCTACCTGGAGACTGGCAACCCAGATGTTTAGGCATGGTAAGAGATGAGGAGCCAATGGAAATTTTTCAGCACAGGGATGACAAGATCCCTGTTCCATGTCTCTAACATCAATCTGGCTGCCATACTTTGGACCAGCTGAAGTTTCTGGACTGTCTTCAAAAGCAATACCACAGAGTGTATTGCAGTTATCAAACATAGATGCGACCAGAGCAAAGATCCCTGTGGCCCAAGGCATGGTTTTCAAGGAACAGCCATAGCTGGAGTGTCAAGTGAAACAGATAAAAGGCTATACTGTTGGCCAAGATTCAAAGAGAGACTTTGCACAAACAGCCAAGGAGAAGAAGAAACGGGCTGCCATTTCACACATGGCTTTCCCCTTCTGGTAAAGAGGTGGATCTGAAGCGGTTTGCCATTTCAGACTGCACAACTTTTTCCCTGCCGTTTTTCGCCCGTGCGGGCGATCTCCGGCTATTTTTTTTAAAAAAATCGCTTTAGAGCGCTATAGCACTATAGCAGTACAACAAAACACTCCAGGCACTCCGATGGGGTAGATATAATGCTGTTCCGTTATAGCGTTATAGCGCTATAACGCTATAAAGCAAATGTTTTTTAAAAAGCTGGAGATCGCCCGCGCGGGCAAAAAACGGCAGGAAAAAGCACATCGGAACTGGGAGAGGAAACTGAAGACTACTTGGAAGTGGTTGACAGGTAAAATGCTTCAGCCCCGTTTCCTAAACGGGGCCAAAGTGTTTGTGTCTGAAATTACAAATATATTCCAGTAGGGAACCGGTTCTAAAACGGTTCTGTCTGAAATGACACACCGTTATAGCAATATTGGTAACACCTGTTCAGAACAGGTGTTTCACCTCAGGACCCAAACACCAACCTGGATTCTCTACCCAACCAGGGATGGAAGGATTATACAGTCTACCTCAACAGCTGCTAGCAGTGTCTCCCAAACAGGGGGCACAGGGTAAGTATGAACAGTGTAGAAAGGGTTATGACGACAGAATGTCACCGCGATATCTTGCCAACATAACTCCACATGCAAATAGGGGAAACAGGGAGCAAAGACAGCCAAATTTCTAGAGTGACTAGCAGCCCCCCCCCCAGCCATGGCTACTGCTGGTCAAATAGTGATGACCCCCTTTTTCCTTCCACCATCCGAACCCCATGGAGCAGCACAAACAGAAACTGCAAGCAGAAGTCTAATGCAGATTCCTTGAACGGATGGGTAAGGGTAACTATTGCCTCAATGATTGCAGCCAGGGGTCATTTCGTAGAAAAAGAGCTAGGGGAACTCATTAGCATAACTCATTAGCATATGCCACACCCCCGAGTCCGACTCTTCACTGCAAGTATGTGATAAACATTCCTATACTTCAGGCTTCAGGGAAATCTCCTCCACAGAATGTTGTTAAAAGTTTAAAGTTTCACAAAACAGGCCATAGGTATGGGGGGGATAGCCTAGATCAGGGGTCCCAAACATGGTGCCCGTGGGCACCACGGCCCCTGCGAGTTTGGTGTAGTGGTTAAGTGTGCGGACTCTAATCTGGGAGAACCAGGTTTGATTCCCCACTCCTCCACTTGCAGCTGCTGGATGACCTTGGGCAAGCCATAGTTCTGACAAGAGCTGTCCTTGAAAGGGCAGTTCTTGAAAGAGCTCTCTCAGCCCCACCTACCTCACAGGGTATCTGCTGTGGGGAGGGGAACGGAAAGGAGTTTGTAAGCTGCTCTGAGACTCCGAGTGAAGGGCAGGGTATAAATCCAATCCCCCCCCCTTCTTTTTTTTTTTTAATTTATTTACTGATTTTCTATACAACAATACACAACAATCAAAAATACGTCCAATAAAAATGTTAAGGTGCATCAACTGTTCGAAGGAAATCCAGGTATTTCACTAGCTCTGGCTAAAGAAGGTGGCAAGCTTGGCCACACACCAGGACCCTAATGAGGGGGAAAAAATGGTCCACTGCCTCAGTAGGCCCTCTCTAATTGGTCATTGTGAAGGTTAAAGACAGTATAAGTGGATTCTCCCATACGCATACTCTGCATGTTCCTGATTAATAGGGTCCATTAAATATGCTTTGTTTAAGGGTCCCCAGTACCATGGAACCAATAGTGTGCCTTGGTATATAATGGCAGACTTTCCATTTAAAAAGCTCTTTAAAAATTGTTGAAAAGCAAACTCAGGCCGCGGTCACACGGAACATTAGGCACGCAAGAGGGATGGAAGAGAGACGGAGTTTCCGGGCGCGATCTCACTGCAACATCTGGGGAGCGTAGAGCTCCGGTGGCTGTTCCATGGCTACCGTCCGAAGCTGCGCAGTAAAAAACTAGTACCTCCGAGGTACTAGTTTCCGGGAACTGCGCAGCAAGGGCGGGCGCCTGATCGCGTCCCTGCCGGGCTTCCGTGGCATCCGGCGCGCGCCGGGTGGTTCCCCCCCCATGCCTCCCGAAGCCCTCAACAGCACATGCGCACAAAGGCACCCGGCATCGTTATGGTCGAGGGGGGCTGCAATGGGAGTGCGCGGCAGCAGCCAGGCAGAGAGAGCCGCGTGTCGCGGGGGGAGGGAGGGAGGGCAGGCGGGATGCTGGTGGGGAGGGGGGACCCGGCGGGTTACTCCCCCCCTCCCCTCCTTGTGAGCGGCCCACAGACCCTGCCCAGAGTGGGCAGTGCACGGCCCTCCCAAAGGGGTGGCTCCTTCCATCCCCTTCCCATCGGCTCTCTCTGGAGGTGCGGATGCTGGTGTGATCGGCACCTCCACCTTATCCACGGGACCTCGCCGGAACCTCTCCGGGACGTCTGATCCCGCTGCCGCGAGGTTTGTTGCCCCGGGGCAAATAGCCACGCTCCCCACCCGCAGTTTCCTGCCCGTGTGACCGCCGCCTTAGTTTTGTTACTTTGTCTTTTTTTATGCTTCTGATTTAGTTTGGGTTTTTTTAAAAGCTGTCCTGGATAATGTTTTGCATGTCTTTCGTTTTTTGTTGTTGTTCAGTCGCACAGTCGAGTCCGACTCTTCGCAACCCCATGGACCAGATCACGCCAGGCATTCTGGTCTTCTGCCGTCCTCTGAAGTTTGCTCAATTTCATGTTCGTTGCATCTATGACACTGTCTAACCATCTCATCCTTTGCCGTCCCCGCCTTCTTTGACCTTCAATCTTTCCCAGCATCAGGGTCTTCTCCAGTGAGTGCTCCCTTCTCATTTGGTGAAGTATTTGAGCTTCAGTTTCATTTTAGCTCATTTCAATTTGATGATCATTTTGAATATATTTTATAATGGAAGAGAGTCTAAACATTTTATAAATAAAATAATAAATGTTGCAGTGGAAAAGGTATCATCTGAGTTTGCCATTATAAGTACAGTAGTACTCTCAAATTTTGGCGTACGGTTGATGACCTTTCTGCCATATTACGTTCAGTCTAGTTGGGGGAAAAGGTTACCACAGAAGGAAAATTAACCCTCAATCATGCCATTTTGTTGGGGGATTTTGCTGCTTCACAGGAAACTTGTTACACCCAAGAAGAAGAGCCTATTAAGATTTTGAAAATGATTTGAAATATTTCCTCTTTTGAACATTCTGCCAATACTATTTTCAGTCTAGTGGACAAGTATGTATTTTATATGGAAAAATTAAGACTAAAAGCAGTTGTGCGAATCAGTGGTTAGTCATGGTATTTTGTCATTGGAGGGTTCTTACTGCTTCTCAAGAAAGTCATTGAGTCCAAGATTATGATGTCATTGAGGTTTCTAACATGTTTCTTAAAGTTTCCTCATTTCCTATGCTAACAAACTGTCCAGAGAAGCTGTTATTTTAAAATACCAGTTAGTCACCTCAGTTCACTCTCTAAGTGAATATACTGGCACTTTTCACTAAATATTGGCCGGTCAAAGTGACACTGGAGAGCACAAACATCAAACATGGTTTCCATTTCTCCAGGGAGCATGTAAATTAAACTGCCTTTTGGGAGACAAGGTTGGAAGTCAAACCTACCTTGCCAATGTTTTCTGGTGAGCAAGGAGAATATGTATGACTGGAATATTTACACAGCCAAACATCAGTGCTGGACAATTACATCACTGTCATTTGGTTCCATACATGAACTGCAATCCCTTTAAAAATTAAAGAGTCACTGCATTCACCTCCTTAGCTTTCCACAAAGAGGCCCTTTTCACATTACCGTTCTAAACTGGATGTTATTCATTGTTGGCTCAATTTCGAGTAAAGCAGTACAGGGACAGGGGTTTTATACAGCAAATATCCTTCCATTAATGAGCTGTCTCTGAAGCACTATGGTTATTTCAAACAGTGCCACTTTCCACCCTCCCTTTTTCACTGTACGATCTTCCTCTGACTTTTAAAAAATGGTCTAAGGTGAGTGCTATAGTGCTATACCGCTATAGCACTTCAATGCAATAGCGGCACTACTGAGATGCATTTACTCAATGGAGTGGACATTTTAAACAGCACACCACAGTGATTCAAAAGCACAATGAAGGGGATGAAAATAGAAAAAAGCAGTTTCCCTCAAAAGTGGCTCAACCACACTTTGCTGACTTGACGCAAGTGGCTTTGTATGAACATGTAAATAAATTCTGCTAGCAGCCGGTTACTAAAATGGGTCTGTCTGAAAGGACAGAAAAAATCCATTAGCAACCAGTTACTAAAACAGAATACAAAGGCAGTTTGAAAAGAATCAGAATTACACAGTTGTTCTAGCAGACACACTCTCAGTTCATATCCAAATCTTCCTTACACACACTCACATCATACACACTCAAATCATATGCTATCCCTTTCTTTACTCGTAATACATGCCTATTAACAAAGTGTGGTCTCTGTGTCTGTCTATTTCCCCCTCCCTGCCACCACCCTCTTTCATAACAGCACTAGTTTCATAATATCTCTGTGCTAGTTTTTCTTCTCAGGAAATTGAACAAGGCCTTCATATGGAGGGTAGTTTCTGCTCAACGTATAATCAAGTCAGCTTGTCACTACTAGATGATCACTGAGAATCAATATTGTTCATTATTTTAAAATGCTGCACCCTTCAGTTTATACAGCTGAAAACACAGTGGAAGGCCATGAAGCAGATATCTGTGTGGAAAGTCCCTACAAAAGTTGGACCCAGAAATAATTTTCCTTTGAATACTTTTCTGTCCAACCAAAACCAAGAGTGTGATTTAAAACAAAACAGAACTGCTGAATAGTACCCTTGTCTAAGTCACAAA